AAATTTCTGTGTTGATGATAGGTTATGCAGTAAGTAACCTATGTTTAAATATGCTATATGTCATGAATTTGGGTTTTTGATGTGCAGTTGTTTTACGGCTCCTTTAAATATTGTTTGAGAATTGCCAGAAACAATTAGGGACTGGTGTGTAGGAGTCAGGTGTAAGCACAGGTGGTTCTACCTGCTTGGCATTCCTGCCTGTCACACCTCCAACGGTACCATTGTGCAGGCTGCAGGGTCATCAGCCAGGAGCCACCCTTCTCAGATGTTTCGCCCCATTATTCCTGGAACATCTCAGGGTGGTGGGGCAGCGGTAGGGACGTCTCCCTACCACCCCCTGCAGCCTGCTTAGGATCCTTCCTTTCACCATGCCTTGTCCTTCCTCCAGAGCCAGATCCTAAAGCTCCCTTGCTCTGCCTCCTCCGCCAGATCTTGGAGGGCCCGCTTCCTTTTGGGACCTGTAACTCCGAGAGTTTTGAGGAGCCGCTGTGTGGATGTTCCATTGAAGCCCCTGCACCCGACTTCCACTAGGAAAGTGAATGCTCTCCACCCAGCTTGCAAGCACGTGGCTGACAGTTGCGCGTACCTCTCCTTCTTTCTCTCATATGCAGCCTCCATCTCTTCTTCCCATGGGACGGTCAGCTCTACCATAACAACTGTTCTGGCAGGAACTGACCAGAGCACGATGTCTGGAAGTAGAGATGACATGGTGATCTCTGCAGGGAATTTCAGCTGGCGGTCGAAGTCGGCCGCTAACTGCCACTCGCCTCCTAGTGGTAGGAGGGACCACTCATTCTTGGTGCAGCGCTGCGTTTCTCTCCCTTGCCTGACGAACTGGATCCACCTCTGGGTTGTAGGTGTGCCGGCCCTGTTTACTTCCAGCCTGCCGGCCTCCAGTGTCTCTGCTAGCTTGCTCAAGACCTTGTCATGTCGCCAGCTGTACCTGCCCTGTGACAATGCCGTCTTGCAGCCAGAGAGGATGTGCTTCAGGTTTGGGTTTGAGATGTTGCAGAGCTGGCAGGTTTCTTCTGAGCCATACCAGACGAGAAGGTTCCGGGGGCTAGGGGGCAGGTCGTAGGTCACCCTGATCCAGAAACTCAGTCTTGCCTGGGGTGTCCTCCACATTTCAGCCCAAGTGATGGTCCTTTTGGTCACAGCCTCCCAAGTGATTCATCTGCCTTGCTATTGTTGGCTCATAGCTGTGATCTTGTAACCTTCCTCTTACATCCTGGTAACTTTGGAGATGACGAGATCTTTCCTCTCCTTCTTGGTGGCTTAGGACCATCTCTTTGGCACTGTTCCCCATCCTAGGCCAGCTCTGCCCTGTTGTGTAAAACCAACAATTTCCTGATGTTTTAGCCGGTCTATGGCCTGCTCTGCTGCTTGGGTTGCATTCCACTTGCGTCCTGTTTGAACCTGGGGATTGGCAGTTTGGATAGCCGGGTCCAGTGAGTCTCTCAGCTCGAATAAGGGCCTCACCTTCTCCTTTTTGTACCCCAAGCTGATTGACTGGAATGGAAGCTGTAAGGTGTTTCTCCCAAAGAGTACTGTGGTGGAGAAGCATCGAGGAAGACCAAGCCAATTCCGGATGAAATTGTTGGCTTTTGCCTCCAATTTCAGGACATTTGTCAAGGTGATGTCACTCAGTTTCAGAGGCCATATCAGGTGTTGGTATAGCGTAAACTGTTAACACCAAACCTTGAATTTCCTTGGCAGGAAGCACTGGTCGATCTTGCGCAAGCCATCCTGAAGTTGGGTTGTGACAGTTGAGGCCATGTTCTTGTCAGACAGTTCAGCTGTGTAGAGTCTACCGAGGCTTCTCACAGGTTCTTCCACCAGTAGGGGAATTTTTTCGCCATCCACAGTGAAGAGGGTGGTGTCATTTCTTGCCCCATTCTGGAACGACAGGCTGCGAGACTTGGTGGGCTTGATTTTTATACATATATTTAATTTGTGTTTAAATGTAATATCCCGCCAAGCCACCAAGTGGGGTATAGTACTGGCTGAGGCAGGCCAATGGAAATTTAAGTTAAGCCACTAAGCCCAGATGTTGCTGGTTGGGAGGAGGAAAACAGTTTTTGACTGTGCTCAACTAACTACTGTATGACTGTCTCTGGTGGACTCCAAAATCTACCAGCCGCCCAATAGATTACCATGGTTTTTTATGGGCTAGTAATTGAAGCAAATCTAACAGCACTTCCATATTTTTCTAGCATCTGGCTGGTGCTAATTTCAAATCCCAATGATACTAGTAAGAAAAACAAGATGATATAAAGCACTGGTAAAAAGTGGAAATAGTTTTCTAAATACATGTCTCAACAATTGAGCCCACGTAGCAGGCAGTAGCAGCTAAAATATAGGACTCAGTCACTACATTTAGTATATCTTGCAAAAGCCAATAACCATATTTCCCAAAATGTTACACTATAATAACATATACTGTAAAACAAATACCAAAACACACCATACGAGCTCATATAGAGATCCATTGGCAGAATAACATAAAACTTTAAGCACATTCAGCCATTGTCAGCCATCTCAATCATGATGTCTAAATGTACGGGAGGATTTGTCTTATTTTGTCAGACGACATGTTCCAAGCTGTACTGATTCACACAAAACACATGATTCTGATTTACACAATAGTGACATTTATTTTGAATCAAAAACTGACTACACCACATGTGAGTGTGTGTATGCACTACTGTTAAACTCACATACAGTATATCATTAATCAGCTTCCACCACATAAGGAAATTTTGAATAAAAATATATCCTTTCAACAACTGAAAAGCTTTTCTGAATGAAGACGAAGAATGCCTCATGCCTTATTCATACCACACAATATCAGCCTGGTTATAGCCCAACGCGGCATCATACGGTGTCAGCTGGGATAGTGAATGACAATGAGTGTCATACCCGTATCTTGTGTAAAGTGTCATTGGAGAAGACAACTGAGGCCACGTCTGAGACACTTCTTGACGTTCTGACAGAAAGTCAAGCATGTTTGATTTTCTTTTTGTCTTTCACAACTTCTCCCTTCACACTGACCAACAGGGACTGTATGAAAATTAGATGATGGACGGTATAAAAAAGAAAGTCCATCTCCAATGTTATTCAGCCCCTCCAGGATGTTGTGATCACAACAATTAACGCAAATGCAGCCACTCCCTGTGAATTCTGCATGACCTTGCAATTTTGTCCAATCACCATAATAAATTTGACTATTTGAAACAGGTAAAAATTTCATTGTAGAGCTCTGTGCAGGGTATTGATTCACTCAGCCACTCTCTCTTTCTCTCTGTTTATCAAGAGACTCCTACTGCCAGACTGGAGCTCCAAGCCTGGGAGAATTGAGAAACACATACAGTTAGAAGGCTAACTGTTAGCATCACATAGCCAACATTACCTTTTGGTTATTAACAGGTTTACCAACCTCGAGCAAGTCGAGCTGTATTGGTGTCAGTATGAGATTACTGGCTGTTTGTCAGATGTTGCCGAGAGGCTTCTCTCCAAGCGACACAATGATGAGCAGTGATGAGATCACATTGTGCTGTATTAACTCATGCTAACTGGGCAGAGAGAGCAGGAGGAGAGTTGCTCACAGAGACCTTCAGCGCTGCATCGAAAGGCATCGACAGCTGATCATCACTGATCAGTACTGCTGCCTCACCCCCTACATTCACAAATAGATTCTAATTCTGTGGGAAACACTGAATGCTCATAATAGTAGGCTTTGAATATGAGATAGCGTCACATTTTTTTTTGCAATTTTCACTTGCTCCTAAAATTTCATTGCAAATCAATTTTTATAAACATTTTAACACGCATTGCATTTTTTTTTTTTTAGAAAAGCTGCCCTGAAATCAGGTCATTTTAGGCTGCAAATATCCAAAATACAGAGAGACTGGTTATTAAGAGTTTCTTTGGACTTTCCTATTGAAGCATATGTGTTTGAACTCTGCTCGAAGTTCAAACACACACATTTGCCTAGGTGTGGAAATGTTTTAAATAGTAGTAAGTAAATAATAGTAATAGTAAGGTAAGTTTTAGCAAGAATGCATGTGTGGGAAGTATGGAGCACATGACTGGATAAATGAGACTTGGATTATACTCTACAAGTTGTGTAAGATGCCTTGAGAGAGTTTTGCTGTTGTTAGATGCGGATGGCCAAAGAGTAAAGTAAGTATCTGGTGCAAACTCAGAAAAATTCAACCCTTCATTTTTGTTTTAAATCAGTGGAAAATTACAATGATAAGGGTGAAATAATTTAGTAAGTCATATTCTACCGATTGGGAAGAAAGGATGGAGAAGGCAATGATGAAGAAGTCAAGTGAGGAGTCTTCAGACAAAATAGAATGTGCAGCGGTCTCATTACTAGCTGTCCATATTTGTTTTTTGGGCCAAAAAGTTTGCAGATAATCAATATAATCTGTGTTTTTGCTGCAACTGTTTATTTCTGTTGTGCATTCTGCAACGCCCTTAGTTTATAACACATCCTTGATTACAATGGTTCTGTACAAAACTGGTGAAAACATGAGCTGGTTCGCTAGATAGTGCCAAGGTTCCAAGTAGGGTTGCAGTGATATACTGGTTTTAAGGTATACCGTGATATTAAAGTGATATTTTCTAAGACAGTTATACTGTGAAAATCTCATACCATTGCAACCCCATTTCTAAGAATCCTTAACGTAATGAGTTCAGGAACCAGAACTAATTTGGTGGAAAAGGGGTATCTGAGAAATCAAATAAGTGTATTTACCAAAATGTCAATTTATTCCTTTAAATTGTATTTCAGAAAAAAACCTCAAGGGCACCAGTGGTTTTCCACTGTGTTTCACCATGCATACAAATATAGGAACTTTACTATAAAAAGATCCAAATACTGATCACACACATAAGCACTGGCTGTTGGGGCTGCCTTTACAAGAGGCAGTTCCACTAAATCTGCATCATTTGTACTCATAGTATCTCCTGGATGTGAAAGACGATGTACCCACCTCCACTGGCGTACTCCATGATTAGGTAAAGGGTCTTATCAGTCTCAATCACCTCGAACAGCTGCACTGTAGCCCAGAACAGAATCAGATTAGAATTAAATGTATATCAACAAATCCTACTCACATTATAAATAATAGCACAGCCGTCTGCCTATCTGTCTTAATACCAAGGAAACCGCTGCTAATGCTGTGGGGATTTTTTTGATCCATATGGCATTTCAGCTTTACAAAGTCCAACCTCATGACCTCTACATAAGCCCTGAGATGTCGTCTGTTACTGTTCGGTCAATGAATGCTCTAAAGCTTACTCAAAGCATTACACTTCCGTCTGGTCTCACACATGGAAGCAAAACACACATGCATGGACACACACTTAGACACACATACCAAAAGCCCATTGACGTGTGTATGTGCCTTACCTATGTTGGGGTGATTTAAGCCTTTCATTATTCGTACCTCCCGAAAGAGCTGAGAAGAAACAGAATGTTAATATCTTGATAATAATAGACATAAAAACAACTTCCATTGCATCTGCTGCCTTAGAGTGTTCAACATTGACTCTCCACACTTCTGTAGATCTGTACTCTAATGCATTTACACTGTAGAGAACCATATGTTTAATCAATGAGCTCGTCTTTAGGTCCCAGGTCAGACTGTCATGTGAAAATTGGTAAATGAAACTTAATTTTTAATTTGAAGCTAAAATGTTCCTCTTGTAAACATACAATTTGAATGTGTTAATCTCCATTTTTTTCCACAAACAAAAATCCACTAAATCTCAGTTGTAGATCGTCACCAAAATGGCATCAAATGTTTGAGACCAAAAACCAACCTGTCCACTAAATTTCCTGAAATAAGTTTGTGACATTCATGACAAACAAGGAGTGAAACTCATCAGGATGGTACAAGTTAAGACTAATCTTGTGAATCCTTCAAGTCATTCTCTGTATTGTCAATGAGCAGATAGAGCCTTTAAACTGGTTAGACATTTGACATTTGACTTTGTTAACCAAATGCAAAGTTAAGCATTTTAAGCACCTGCAGAAAAATTTCGGTTGCATACATGTGTCAAACATGAGATGGACTCAGTCACTCACTATAATATCACTACTATACCCCCAAATCTCTCCTATGACCAGGTTTTAACTTGTGCTGGGTCACTGCAGCAGTGTGTGAGTGTTTTTTGTAACATTAACATGGGAAATTAACACACTGTAACCATAGTTACAGTATTAGCATATAAAAAGGAAACTTCATTGACTTTAGATACCTAAGTCTACTTCCAGGTGTTGGGGAGTACTACTGCATACATGAAAAAGAAAAGTGGCATAAAACCTTTTATGGCTCCAGGAGACGCTGCACAAATTCTGATAAGTGTCCTCAAGTGATGTTACTTGAGTAAGCCTCTGTCTGGGCTGAAGTTTAAAAAATGAACTAAATCTGGAGGTGTGGAGCTGACCAAACTTCTGTAACCTGTTCCTCATCTCTGCTTGAGTCTAGAAGCTGCAAGCTTTATTAGCCATAACTACAGTAGTATAACACACCTGAATGTCTGGCCAAATTGTTAGTGGTCAGGTTGCATTATGGGTAGTGTAGGTTTTGACTAGAAAGAGGAATTTATGGGGGGGGGTGGGGGGGTCTCTGTTGGCATTTTTTCAGCCGATTCATCACGTTGAATTGGTGTCTCAGACAATGAATAAAATCACTCTGATTGGCAGTTCAGCTCAGCGCACGACCAGAAAAATGGAAGTGAGTAGTTAACAAAGAGCTTAAGTCAAGAAGAAGTGAGACCAAAACAAACTTGTTCCATAAAGTAAGAATATTTTTTCTTTAGCCATTGAGCTCTTCAATAGAAATGTTTCCTGATGGTTTGTGTTAATGTTTACTGGTGCACAGTAAATATGCTCTGTTCTTTCAGCATTGGATTGTGTTGTTAATGTGCTAACCAACTAACTAGCATCAAGAAGATGTTCTGGTTTTCCTTTTTGAATGATTATTACAGTCTAATGCCACCTGGTGGTATTTTCTCTCAAGCAGGCACAGAACGTATGTACTGTATGGCCATCAGCTGTGGTCTTTGTGGTATGTTTATGTGCAACTTTTTGGCCGAGACAGGGCAACATCAGGGGATGCAGGAGGGGGCCTTCGTTGCTGCCAGTTCTCTGAAGTCAGTTTGGTGTGTCTGGGCCTTAAGACAATCGATCGAGGCTGGACCAGGACAAGCAAAAAATTTAGACAAATTTATACTTTTGTCCTACAAATAACACTGTCACTTCTGTCTCTGATGTTCATCAAAATGAGAAAAAAATGTGAAAGTGACAGCAAGCAACCAAACCTCCACACTATTAAAAACAACAACAAATGGTCCACACACAAATATAATGAATCTGCAGCCCAAAACAGGCCAGCGTCTACTCTCTGTCTGAGCACTTCCTACTGCGTGTGATGTGTCTACTCTGGAGGATAAATTTGTACACTGTGTCAGAGCAGAGCAGGGGATTAAATTTGAGCCCACTCTCCTGGTTTCGAGCATATAAAAGTACACTTTTCTTAAAAAAAAAAAAAGAAAAAAAAAGCGATCACTAAAAACCAGTGACTCTCCTCCACATTGTCAACTCCAACTAGCAAAAAAAAAAGATGGTCAATAAGCTTTGCTATCCTCTTTTCTCAAATCCTATCCCTCTCCTGTTTTCCGACATGCCTCCCTCCATTACCTCCTCCTCCATTCAATTCCACTAGCAGTCTTCTCCTCTAGCAGTGCCCCAACGTCACTGTTGCCATAGCGACCCAAGTATTAAGACCGGGCTCTTTCCCAGCTTCTCCAGCTGTGCTAGGGGGAATCTTGGGATACGTAGTGCTGAAGCGTCTCATCATCTAGGCGTCCCATTAATCCCCTGCTCGTCAAGGCAGAGCTGAGTGCTCAGATACATCAAAACAATAAACAATCTCCTGGCAACATGTTCGACCCCAGTCGTCGTTAATGACCACAATTGAATAGCAATCCTACTATAAATCTTAAAGGGATGGAGACACATGCACTGTGGCAACAAGGTTCCTGGCTTTGATTAAAAACAGAACAGATTGAAATTATTTGTATTGAAATGTAAGTTTCATCTTATACTATTAATAAGTGACTCAACCGAATTTCTAACTGACATAAATTTTGTTTTCAGGTGTCCAACATCAGAGAGGCCAGTCCTGGATATCTTACCTGGGGTTAACTTAATTTCCTCTATGTCACCCTTCCTCCCCCATCTTAATATTGGATTAAATTGCACTCATTTTTTTCTAACTTTGTATGGTGTGGGGAACAACCATGGGTCAAGATGTCCACATTACAACGGCATTAATCCAGCGGCGGTCTCTCAGTGCCAAATTTTATATAATATTTCTGCTTCTTTATGTTGAGGCCTCTCTCAGCTTGGCTTTATCCAGAAGCAACAGTGTCTTGGAAACCCATTGAAGAAAACTTGGCTGCTCAACGCAGATTAGAGGACTTGGTTTACTTTAATATGCTCCTTAAACAATCAAAACTCCATCTTGGTCCAGTTATCTTAAGTCTACTATCCACATGGTACACTACAGAAAAGGAGACTAAAACTACTCTCAAATGGCATCTTAACAGTTCATTTTTTTTTAGTAATTACTACGTAGGTATTAACTGGCAGACATTTTTATTGAGCATGGGCTGAGCTCCTTTAATGATATTCTTCTGTCCTATAACTTACCTGGCTCTTCATTTTTTCTATATCTGCAGTTTAGATCATCACAAAAAGCATATGGAATGAACCACTGAAAACACATCACCTGCATTCTATTTTGTCTATGCAAGGTCATACAAGGGGATTAGTCTAAAAACTGTATACACTGTTTTCTGTCTTCTTATAAACCTCTGTTCATTGAATGGGTTTGAGCCAGAGACCTTGAATACCTGAATGGGAGTAACCAATTGGACTGGGATCAATCTGGAAATGTATACCAGACACGATAATATTGGCACATCATCCGTATTGGCTGATATTAGTTTTAAAATGAACTTTTGGAATCACCCAACATGCTTTTTCTTATTTTGCACAATGATTGAATAATACAGACACTGAAAAGCATTCTATTTCATGACTCCATCTGCTGGTGGGCCATCACATGAGTGCATTATGGAGTATGCATGCATAAATGATTTTAATCCCACTACAGAAGAGACTTGGTGATAAAATTAGGTGGGAAAAAAGTGGGTATATCCCTATTGACATTAGTTATTAGCCAGATACGTTGTTTTATATCAGCAAATTTCATATCGGCAAAAAATTCCAGTATCATGTATCCCTACTGGACACATCCAAAAATCCTCATCAACAGATCAGGTTTAACATACTGCATCAAACCTATCTCACTTCAAAGAAACATTTCTTGATTAAGCTTAATTCATCACCAATATGGTAATGGTAAATGGTAAGTGGACCTGCATTTGTGTAGTGCCTTTGTAATCATCCAACCACTACAAGTCACATTCACCCATTCACACACACATTCATACACTGGTGGCTGAAGCTATCCTACAAGGTTTTCATTTGTTTTGTTTGCACACCAATGGAACAGCCCTTGGGAGCAACTTAGGGTTCAGTATCTTGCTCAAGGATACTTCAACATGCAGACTGGAGGAGCCGGGGATTGAACCACTGATCTTCTGATTGGTGGACAACCCGCTCTACTTCTGGGCCACAGCCCCTTTGTGGTCCCTTTGTACTGTTGCCAACTCCTCAGTAAGAAAAGTAGCTATTGGCTGTCCTAAAAGTCGATAGAAGTCACTAAATGAAATCATAACCTAATTTGCATAATTGTCCATATGCATGTAATTGTAATGGCTGCTGTAGGAGAGAGGAATAACGTCGTGGGAGAGACAAAAACTGAGTAAAAAAACACCCTGAATATGTTTAGAAATACAAATGAACCTTCTTTCAGTGATTTATATTAGACAAAGAAAATTTTACATTTACATCCCGCCCTGACTGTAAACCCGGTCGGGATCAGGCAGCGGCAGTTCCACGCATGCGCGATTCACTTGAAGTCTGGACGTGGAGGGTTAACATCTCCTGCTCTGACTGCTGCTGGGAGGGAGGACTGGGCCGTCTGTGAGTGCTTTGGGGCGAGAGAGGAGCCCACGGCAGCATCCGCTGCTCGTTGAGAAGAAGAATGATACTTGCTCGCACAACAGAGTCTCCAGAAGTCTTCAATAACATCAGAAAAAGTAGCTAGATTTGTCGCTAGTCGCTTTTTTGAAAAGAGTCGCTAGAGGGGTCTGAAAAGTCGCTAAATATAGCGACAAAGTCGCTAAGTTGGCAACACTGGTGGAGGCCTTACTGTCTTCACAATTTCTTGTTTCTTATCTGTGAAATACAAGTAAATACAAGCTTTGTTTCCACTGAGGGAAATGGTTTCAGCTTACAGAAACTGACAGGAGGTCTGCATCACCCCAACGCTGAGCATTAGGATGGGCGAGTTCAAATAATCGACCAGGAGACTACAGCTCTACCATACACCCCTACTGCTTTTGCTCTTAAATGACTTGTCTTTATTAAATATTTCACAACATCAAAAACACATATTAGTAGCTGGTTTAGCTGCAGCAAAAAAAAATGCTGGCTCTGCATTGGAGTCATCAACATATTCTCATAAAATCCCATTGGTTAAGTGCTTATATTGGTGCTGTTAATATGGAACTTCAAGAAGCTAGGAGGCATGGTGCTAAAGAAAATACTATTTAATTGCGGATGAGCGAGAATTTATGAAACTTTATAATATTCAGGGCTTTATGACTTGGTGTGTTTCATGACATCCTTTTAAGATGTTAATGGTTGATTTGTGGTAATAATTTTGACACACATTTTCCCCCGGAGGTGAATTCTGCCTCTGTTTTTATTTAGGAGCTTTAATAGGCCCCACTGCGATTGCAACTGTGATGTCAATAAGTGTGCAACCCTAAAAATACTTTTTTTCCCTTTTTTTCCATGACACACATGCTCTTCTTGAATTACATAGAAACTTAATCCATTCATTTTGTTTAATTTAGTTTGTAGTTTTTTACTGTAATGCTTTGTTTCAACACGTATCTTGCTTTCATTATCTTTGCATATCTTAGACTCAATAAAAATTTGATCACAAAAAGAGAGGTCAGTCCTGTCGATCTCCCCGTGTAATTTGCTATTTCCTCTTAACGGATGTAGAGGTTTGATTTTTCTCAGCTGTTATTTTACTTCCGTCTTCCTCCCCCACTTTTAACCCACTCCTATACGTCTCCCTCTTTCCTTCTCCCCTCTACATACATTACAGTCCAGATTATGCTAATATGGGCTCTTTCATGTTTTCAGTACTAAGGATTTTCTCTAGCCCACGGGTATGTAAAGAAGCCAGCTATCATCACTGGCCAATTGTAGGCTATTCTCTATAATCAGTGGCCAATCCTTCACCTCTCTCCTCAGTCCTGTCCTAAATGTTGCACCATTGTCTCTTACAGCAGCCAGTCCGGCCCAAGAAAAGCAGCATTCAGGAAGATAGAAGTTGGGATTACAGTTTCTGCAAAGCATCTAATGTTCTAGCCAGGTATGGCACAGATATTTATTTTCTTTTATGATATAAGCACTATAAACAAGATGAGTCAAAGTATCAGTATTGGGAAGCCAGTGATCAAAGGGACAACAGATGGCTATGGGAAAAGAAAACAGTGAGAACTTTTACACCAATCAGCCAAAACTTTAAAACCACTGGCTGGTGAAGTGAATAACATTGATCATTTAATTACAATGCGATGTTCTGCTGGGAAACCTTGGGTCCTGGCAGTCACGTGGGTACCTCCTGAAACACTTCACCCATCCAAACACTGTTACAGACCAAGAACCCCTTATGGCAACACACTACCCAAAGGCAGTGTCCCCACCAGAAGGACAAAACATTGTCACACCATAAAAACTGATCAGGAATGGCCTGAGAACATGACAGAGCACAAGGCATCCACCTGGCCTCCAAATTCTCCAGATTCTAATCTGATCAAGCATCTGCTGGATGTGTTGGTACCCCACCTAACAACTCGACTTTAAGGGTCCACCGCCAGTGTCCTGGTGCCAGAGACCACAGGACACCCCCAGAGGTCCTGTGTCCATGCCTTGACAGGTCAGAGCCAAGTCTGTTACAAGGAGGTCTCACCATGGATCCGGGGTGCCTCTGGGGTACCGGCATGTCCCACAAATGCTCGTTCAGATTGGAATCTCTGGACTTTGGGACCAGGTCAATGACTTGAGCTCTTTGTCACATTCCATCATGGGTGGAGCGTGTCAGGTAAATTAATAGTCCCTTTATTCCAAAAGTCGTAAAGAAAGCAAGGGAAGAACATTTAATAAAGTCCTGGAAGGCAGGAGTGGATGAACCCGGTTAAAGAGTACCCGCCAAGACGGGACGCTCTAAAACTTAAGTGAGCACGCCCACAAGGAGGCAGGGATCATTTCATTGGTCAACAATAAACCTGGCATTCTATTGGTCTGGGGATTTTGACAGGGTTGTTACACAAAAAAATCCAAGAGCAAGACAGAAATCTGAAAGCAGAAATTCCACGAGCGCACAGAAGCAGCTTGAGCGCAAGGAGAACAGCTGAAGCTGGAGCAGGAAATCTGTGCAAGCAACATTGTATCTGAGTGTGAGCACACAGTTTGAGCAGAAACAGAGTAGATCTAAGTGCAAGCAGAGGCTATTTGAGTGTGAGGGCAGGGTTTTGAGGGACAATATTACAACATCTGAATGTGAAATCAATAAAGAATGCTCTCAAATTGATATACCACTCTCTTGAATAAAGATAGGAAAAAAGTTCCATAGTGTGATACAGTTTGATGTGGTTAGGAGATAAGATAGAGATATCTGAGCATGTGATCAGCTCATGATCAACTAGCCTCTGTGTCAGCCATGTAAAGTCTAAGGTATGAGCCATTAGAGTCACCTGGCAAATCTGCAAGCTCGTGTTTTATTTGGTCTGGCAGATGCCTCTGATCTCCATCCGGTTCAGGCAGATTTCCAGCGCACCTGGCTCATTGTGGGCCAATCACAACCATTCATGTAATATGTAATTTGATTTGATGATTGACAACTTGCCGGGCCTCACACTTAATGCAAAATAAGTGATGATGTCATTTTTGGCTTGCACACCCTCGTGCTGAGGACACTACAGGGAGTTTAAACCTAGCTTAGTAAAGTGGAAAGCTGTTGAAGCATTTTCTTAAAAGACATCTTTGAGGACATCTGCAGCTAGTGTAGAACTTTTTGTTGAAGAACTGTTTTTTCAAATTCTGATGACAAAAACAACAACACATTCACAAAGATATTGATGCTACAACATCACAGCTCATCTCGGCACACTGTAATCTGTTTACATTAGTCCGTTGCTCAGTGCTACATCAAATGTTTCGTTGCTCTAGTTGGTTGTAGGTCTATCCAATTGTGTCCAGATGAATTTTGGTCTACACCCACTAATAACCAAAATTAAACTGAGAGGTTCCAGACTAAAAGCCCAGACCACCTGCTGTGACGTCTGATGTCACCATGTCTTGACAAAAAAGTTGCACATGAACACACCACAAAGACTATAGCCAACTGCGTGAAAGGAAATAACTTTCCACACCAGTAGATAGTGGTCGACTGGAATCATTATTCAAAAAGAAAAAATGCAAGACCATCATGATGCTAGTTAGCCAGTTAGCACATTAACAACACAATCCGATGTTGAAAGAACAGAGCATATTTACCATGTCGCAGTGAACAATAACACAAACCTTCAGGAAACATTGCGGGCCACACCGTACCAACTAGGGTGACAGGCACACACCGACAGTCTAACACTGACCAACGGTTGACCGTCGGCTTGGTGCGTCAGTGCCTTAACTCGAATTTTTGAGCTGGCCTGGAAATGTCAGGTTACCAGTCCAGGTCTCCAGATGTCTACCATTCCAGCTCCTGAATCTGAATCAAGTGTACGTCAGCGCCATGCTGAGGTTGTCCTTGATAGCTTGCGAAAACCAAAGTGTCCACTGTTCCGCCTCTGACCTTCATGCACAACAAACCTCGAGAATCCACCATTCAGGCTCAACACTCAAAATGCTGACCAGCAGGAAAAAAGAGGCCAGTCCATCAAAAGCCCTCATTGTGACATACACCTAAGCTTTTCTAAAGATACCTCTCACAATGTAATGGCCACTAAACATCACTTACCACAAAACAGCTACAAACGGCATCACGCTTTTCTTTGTTCACAGCAATGTGTGTTTGAGGAAGACAAATTAAGAACACAAACACAAAAAATAGGATGGGTTGGGTGACCGCTCTTTCCGAGATGAGTCACCCCCCTCTCAGGGCAGTGATTAGCCCAGAGAGAGACGAGAGATGGTCTCTGGAGCAGAGGTCTCCTCTCACTCCCATCCACTCCCTAGCACCTGCCAAACAGCATCACATCCCACAAGCCCTCTCTCTATCAGCTGCTCTCTCATTCCTGACCCCTCTGAGGAGGAAACAGCTGAGGATAAACCTGAGCCTCTTCAAGTCCCTAACGGCATGTCAGTATTTGGTTGAATTACATCAATGTGACCAAACCATCCCCATTTCTGATGCCTGACTGCTGCTCATGAAGGCAGATAGTATTAGACAATGTAGCATGTGTTTCTGTTTTGTACCTGAGGACAAGATACACATTCTTCAACAAATGATCCATCAGTATAAAGAGGAAAAACTCACCTTCTGTAGGCTGGTTGGGTTCAACTGAGTTTTATCGATGATTTTTATTGCAACCTGGAAGCAACATCAAGGAATTTTTTGATGAGGAAAACATAATGACTTCACTATTAGAATTATCTTTGCTTATAATAGCCTCCATTCATGATGCCTTTCCGAGTGATGACACCCCCAGCTCAGTGCAATACAAATAATGTCTATGTTTGTGTGTTTGTGTTCAATCAAGCTATCTTTTATGAAGTGTTTGTACACTGTAGCTAATGGCTTATTAAAGCTTTAGATCAGTCATAAGTCATTTATAAAAAAGCAAATTTTGTTGTAAAAGACCTTGTTTTCCAGTGTTCCTCTTTTCTGTTTGGTAATAATGCAGTTATAAATTTTGGTAATCCATCATGATGAAGATAAATGGACATAAAGTCCAACCAGTCATAGGTTTGTTGTTTTCACAGCCTAGCATCTCAAAAGTCGTTATTAAAGGTTTACAAGTTTTATTAAATGACTTACTAAACATTAAAAAAGCAATTACTTACAACACGTAAAGCTTCTCTAAAGCAGTGTTTCCCAACTGGTGGTTCACGGTCCAAAAGTGGGTCGCAGGTCCATTCTGAATGGACCACAACTGACTTAGAAACGTGTGTCGTTTGCAAAAAAACACACTTTATTTTGAAGTGCATTGAATTTCAGGCTCAGACCTTTTATTTTGAAGTGTTTTTTCCTTCTGTAGAGTTAGAGAATATCTGACAGCTACTTAAAAGAGACAGTAAACTAGCTCAACGACATGATGAAATTCAACTGTGACGATGAATATATTAAATTGTGTGGACCTTGAACTAATGCCTGAGGAGAAATCTGGACCCCGCGGCTGGACCAGTTGGGAACCACTGCTTTAAAGTGTACCTTATTACAAAGTGGTACCCATTTATGTGTTCATTCAGTATTCAGTATTTCTCAAAGCTAACAGGATGTCCTGAAAGAGTATAAATCACTAGCAGGTGTATTTTGACTTAAAAAAAGATGTTGACCAAAAAAATTTATAAGGGGATTCAATTTAGAGGTAACATTTATTTTTATAAGATTCACTTCTTTACAGACTATGATGGTACAAACTGTGATGTTGCAAACTCAGTACTGGGCCAAATCACATCTTCATGACAGCAGCAACATTAACTAACCATTGCTGTTCCTCACCCTGCAAGCATCATCCATCATTCACCCATCCATCTCCTTCCTCCCTCCTCCCACCATAAACCTCTGCTGTCCCATGTCTCACCTCCTTGCCCGTCAGGATGTGGCGGGCCAGCTTGACCTTCGCAAAGTTTCCCTTGCCGATGGTCTTGAGCAGACGGTAGTTGCCGATGTGCGGCTGCTCATCTGAGCAGGAGGCAATGGAGTTCCTGCAGCGGGCACCCAGTGAGCGGCTGGACTGGCTGGTGGTCTTGTCAGAGCGGCTGGCCCCCAGCGACACATGCTGAAAGAAAAGAAAAGGAGGCTGTAGCAGGGTGGGGTTTTAAAACAGGCGAGAAGGGTGGTGGGGGTGGTCAATCACTGTGCCAACACCAATATCATATCAAGCAGGCTGCCAAAGCACCTCCAGGACTGCCTATATGGTGTACACATGGAGCGCTGATGGTCTCCAGAAACTAAATGATCTGGTGAGTTCCTTCTGTCATTGCAAGATTGTTATGAAGTCTGCTCACAAAAGAATATGGAGACAATATGCTGTTTTAAGGTCCAGGGAACTCCCTGTCACAGTGTGTCATCACTCACACTGAGTATCTATTTTGGAATTCACTGAGCAGCTATTAGATTCAAACATGATTGTGTATCACTTAAAGGTAAAGTGTGTAAGATTTAGGGGGATTTGGTGGCGTCTAGCGGTGAATTGCAAATTGCAACCAGCTAAAACTTCTCCCAGTTAGAATTCCTTCAGTGTTCATTGTTCAGGAGGTTTTAACCGGAAGCCAAATTATTCACAGAGGTCTCTTAATTTCCAAACGTAATGGACCAGGTGATTAAAACCAGTGGAAACACGGAATAAAGCAGTTTCATGTTACAAATCAGTGTATCTCCCACACTGTTCAGCATCTCAGAGAAATGAAGCCCACCCATAACATGCTATTCTGTGCTCACTCCTTTTCTGTCAACAGTAATTGTGTGCCCACCTTTTTCTGATCCAGACGTTCAGGAGGTTTTTACCATGTGCTGAATTATCCACAGAGGTCTCTTCCCTTCCGAAACAAGCAGAACCGGTGATTTAAACTGGTAAAAACACTGAATAACACGGTTTCACGTTACAAATTCCAGGTATTTCTGATGCAGTTTGGCATGTTGCTGTGGGCAGCTAGTCCAGCACATGCTAATGTGTCATCAATTTTTTTCTCTCCAGACGTTCAGGAGGTTTCAGGCAGAAGCCAAATTATCTACAGAGGTCTCTTCCTCTCCAAAACAAATGGACCAGGTGATTTAAAACGGTAAAAACACTGAATAAAGCAGTTTCACATTACAAAACAGTCTAACTCCGGTGCTGCTCGTTGCTGTTGGGCTACTACGGTGGCCAATGCAAAAACGAGACTTTAACCGGACTTTTAAAATACATGTACATGAAATTGAATTTGTGTAGGACTAACGCACCCAGATAATGTAAAATCAAATAATAAAGTCAAATTACTCCTGCATGTATACAGTCAATCCAGCCCAATGTGGCCGAGGTGCTCTGCGCATCCTCCACAGTTTCCGCCCTAGGCTTTGACATGGGAAGTCGAATAGCATTAAATGTGTAACAGAAAAAGAAGCCGGTAACAACATGGCGAAATCTACACCCAGTGCCGTGCATTTTTGGACGGACGAAAAGACACAGTTCGTGCTGTGTCACCTGAAAATGTTAAATAAAATATCTCAAAATACATGGATGGGAGGAAAACACAGAACAGCGACTGTTTGGCTTGTAACGTAATAGGTCAACCAGAAGAAAGTCCAATACTAACAAGCTGAAAGCGGACTTTTCACCGCCTATCGTAGAGGAGCCAGACGTTCTTTGGTGAATACATCGATTCCCCTCCCATGCTTGTATACTGGGACAAGGACAGTATTTCATTATATGGCCTATTTGAGCTATAACCGTAGCTCCACTTAACTGTTCATGTAAACTTAGTGAGTGTTTGTTTTGTCCATTCTAGGCTACTGTAGAAACAGGGCTGTGCAATTTGGTGATCTCCATAATCAAAAACCAGTTCCCTATGTAGCTATAAACATCTCATTCTAAGGAAAGGCAAACACAACAATTCACATTTTCAGGTCATAATAAACTAAAGAAAACATAGGCCTACATACACTGCCTGGCCAAAAAAAAAGTCACCACCAAAAAAAAGGTCATACACTCTAATATTTCATTGGACCGCCGTCTTTAGCTTTGATTACGGCACGCATTCGCTGTGGCATTGTTTCGATAAGCTTCTGCAATGTCACAAGATTTATTTCCATCCAGTGTTGCATTAATTTTTCACCAAGATCTTGCATTGATGATGGTAGAGTCTGACCGCTG